AAAAAAAAAACTACGGTTGTTTCGCTATGCGTGAGCGCACGCACGCACATGTGTGTGTGTACAGGTTTTTGCTTCATGGTGGGTACAATTATTGACCATTTCCCCGGTACACACAGCCTGGTGAGGTTAGGGTTTGGGTCAGGTGTGTAGTCTACCTGGGAGGTTATGGTTGGCTATAGAATTGACGGGAAAAAGAATGGAAGTCAATGCAAAGTCCCCATGAGGATAGAACAACAAACGTGTGTGTGTGGGAGGTGTGGAGCGGAGCCGGCGAGCAGAGCGCAGTGTTATTAGGAGAGATGAGACTGTCGGCAGGCGACCATTGAAACTGCTGGATTATTTTTATGGAACATGATGAAAACCAAACTGGTCGCACTCTAGAGCCCTGATTATTGCACTCCAAGCAGTCCTTTGTGATATGAATATTGCACACATTGATATTGCAATGACAATTAATTTGCAATATATTGTGCAGCCCTAAAATAAATACACCAATCTTTTTGATTTATTTGTGAAAAGCTGACATAATGACAGGGAAATACATTCATCATAAAGAAAACAGGACTTCTGTTGAGAAACCCACCTGGATAAATCAGATTTATACAATTCAAAAGCAAAAATKCTAAAACTTCAACATTTGTATCAASTTACTCTTTGGCTATATTTAGGTTGCAAAAGATTTAGACGTATTTGGTCTTTAARATCTAATTTGGGTGGCCAGAAAGTCAATTTAAAAAAGCCTGAAGAAATTTGATTAAAGTGATTTGGATAAATGGGTATAAATCTAATTTAGTGCAACTTTGTGCTTAAAATAAAATCTGAAYGTTCATGAAGGGATTTAAGGTCTGATCAAGTCTTTGGAGTCTGAATTGTTAGTAAAGTAATTGTTGTAATATATCAGAATATACATTTGCATATAAACATAATAAAGTGACCCAACATATAAAAAATGTTGCCGTTCTGCTCACCACATATGATGCAAATATCAGGACCCTCTTGTGTCTCCCACAGGGCCACTGAGGGTCGCTGAGCAGGTTCGGGTCATAATCTGCTGCCTCGTCTGCATCTGAAACACACGACAGACACGTGTGAATCCTGCGAACTGTAGCAGGAGCGGGTTCGGGGTCAGAGACGTACGTGGGTCTTGTGCGACACTGTTGTTCAGACGAGCTGWGGCGGAGCTTCTCGGCCCGGTGCCACGGAATCGGGACTGAGGGGTCTGAGCTGGGCAGCTCTCTGGCACGCTGCTGTTCTTCTGTCTCACYAACGCATTGGTCGGGTAGAGGAACTGAGCGTAGGACACCGTCTACACAGCAAAAACAGCAGTGTTAACATTTCAGTGTTAAGCGTTTGGGTGTTGATTTACCCCCCCCCCCCGTGTTATTTTAACACTTGCTGAATAAACTGACAACCAGCGTTGGTGTCAATTCACAATGTTGATTTCCTCAGTGTTGTCTCAACACTGGACAGTGT